TGACCCATATACAATGTGACAAAAACGTTAAATTAAGGACTAAAAATTTTTACAAAATTGTGATAGGTTCATAAAAATATAAGAATTTAAGAAAATAGTCATAATACATTTCAATAAGTTTTTAAAATTTTATAATCATAAATAGTAAAGTATTTTACTATTCCATGTATCTGAGAAAAAGAAGGATGCTAAAACAGTCCAATTTTGACCTCCTCTCTGGAACTTTAGTTTATCGTAAAAAGTTCTTGTTTAGGACCCACATAAACAAGAAAAAATAGTATTACATTCCAGAAATGTAGGGAGCATTGATTTTTTAGATTATATCGATTATATCGAGTTTCCTTATAGTATAAAAGTCAAATATTCGGATACTACGCTAAAATTGTTCCTAAATCGGATGTATTGCGAAATGTTTCTTTATTATAACTGATATCTAAAGGTTTTTGAAGTCACTAATCACAAATTTGTTATCCCAATGGCGACATAATGAATTATAAATTAGCGTCCTTGACAGTTTTGTATGTAGAATTACATTATTCAAATATTTCTTCGAAATCAGTCTGAGCAGGCTTCTTGAGACATTCTGATTACGATTCCATTACGATTAAATGAAAAATCTAACATGGGATATTCAAGAGGGCCGATCCAAAATATTTGTATTTGAGTAACATCAGGCACTTACTTCATAAAAGAAAAATAAATACATCTTTCGGCCAATGAAATCGACGGCATACTTGACCACTCTCATTGTCAAGCAAATCCAGAGACAATGGTGAAAACGTGGTATTTATTGTCTCCATTATTTTTAATTAATAAACTTATTTTTTTATTTTTTAAATTGCATTTGAAAACCTTTAAATATCAATTATAACAAAGAAACTTTCGCAGTATATCCGACTTGTGAACAATTTTAGCATGGTACTTATCTGAATATTTGGCTTCCACAAGAAAATAATCGATCTAATTTTTTAAAAATTACTATTGCCTGCATTTCTAGGATGTAAGACTATTTTTTCTTTTTATATGAGTCCTAAACAACTTTTTACAGTAAACTAAAGTTCCCGAGGGAGCCAAAAATTGGTCCTTTTAACATCCTCCTTTATTGAAAAGTTTGCTTCTTTATTTTTTCTCATTCCTAAATCATGTCTTCATCTCATTGCATAACAACATATAGATAATTTTATGCATTTTGATATGATTATCAATGAATATCAATGTAAATTGAATTATATTCAGAACAAATTTAATATTTCAGATGTGACACAAAACGGAGAGAATATCAAGCAACATGAAATATTGCCAAAACCATTTGGAAGAAATTTGGATGTTACTAAGCGGACCAAGAAAGTGATACCCGTCGACTTCGATTTGAAGGTTTTAGTTTCATTTTTTTAAATTATACAACACGTAAAATATATAAAATTCCTATTTATATATATTTTATTATAATGATCTATTTGTGTCGCTTATTTAAGCAATATATATAATAAGCCAAACAAAACATCAAGCTATATAAAACATCAAGGTTTTTCGTTTTAGCTCCAAAATTATTTTTATAAGTTAAAAATAGAAAATGAATTTTGTGCTATTTATTATTTAAAATAGATAAAATTATATTAATAATAATAACAATCTCTTATTAAAAGGATAGTCGCAATTTCTATTTCAAATATTTCCTCTAAAAATTATATGCAAATATGTCTATATATAAATATAAATAATATAAATACATACACATGCGCGCGCGCACACGTACAACTAAAAAAGTGAGGGGATATCAAGGGGATAAGTAAGAGTATGAAAAAACGCAGTCAAAGTGTATGAAACTATATTAGGTTGGTTTTGGACGGAGAAAGGAGTGAAAGGCTCGTTCACTTCTGTTTTCAATCTTGGTAATAGATGTAGGAGAGGAGATAAAGAAAGCAGGTGCGCAGTATTCAGATAAGAGAGAAAAGAATTTGATTGTGCTAGCACATACTGATAATTTGGTATTTCTTGCAAAGAATGGGAAAGGGATGAAGGAAAAGAAAGATGAAAATAATGGAAAGATATTTAAAAGAAAAAAAGTTATAATCAAATACATAGAAATAAAAAAATTTATTTTAAAAAGAAAGGAGGCAGAAGAACGAAAATAGAGTGGAAATGAGAAGGGCAGTTAGAAGATAAAGTCGCAAAATTGAATATTTTTATTATGTGTTAAAGAAGAATGGAAGATATGAAGGATTAAGAACTTTGAAGAAGAACATTGTAATTAGACAAATATAGGGGTTGAGAAAATTAAGATAGGTTTGGAGACAACTTTAGAAAACAGATGATGGGTATTTTCCAGCAACATACAGAAGCGACACTGTATAAAACAATGTGCAAACCAGTGCTTCCCAACTACATATAACTTATTTTTTAATATTAGCAATTGTTATATTAAATACCCTACCTAAATAAAATTATAGTTGTTTTTATCGAGAGAAAAATATATATAATTTTATTTCAATGTAAGAAATTGAAGACAGAGATAATTAACAAATAAAAATGCTCTTATTTTCAGTTTTACATTCAGTTATCTTAAATTTTATTAAACTTTGTTATACTTAACCGTTAATATATATTTGTATCATTTTTGCAAACAGTTAGATGCCGATGATGATGTTGACGACGATGATGATGATGATGATGATGTTTGCAACGAGGAAAATTTTGAAACAAGATTTGAGGAAGAAGATGAAGCGTGCAACTACTGGCAACTTAAAGATTACAATTTTGGTACTCGAAAAAATGTACGAAGCAGGTATAAGGATCATGAGCACAGGGATGATGATGAAGTGGGATCTGCAAATCCTTGGCGGAAAACTGGTGGACTTCGTCTAACCAGGAATGAGTATCACCGATTCTGTGATGCTCAATTAGAATGTAATTGTTACAAATAATGTTTCAACTTTCTTCTTATTTATTTCCTTGATAATTATCTTCATATTTATCCTCTTCTTTGTCACTGTTATTTATTTTAGCCTTTTTTTCTAAATCTCTCTCTCATAATTTTTTTTGCAATTTGCAATTAAGTTTTCCTTATATAACCTTTAATTGCGCATGGAACAATCCAAAGATATTTAAGTTAAAAACTATTGCTTATACCTCTTATCCTATATTTTGAAATCTTTATTTGATTGCAGCCTATGATCTAGCAACACAATGTCCTTCCCGAAGAGCATCTGCTAGAAGACATGCTGCAAAATGCACTATACCGCTAGCATCACTCACAGGAACAACGTCCCTGCCACAATCGAGACCACATAGCCGGCAACGTACTGGCCTCGCAGACGTGACATCGAGCCAAGGTCCAAGTCCCAACATTAGCCTGAATCCAAGTCCGAATTGTAGTCCGCAGCCACGAGCACCGAGGCAACTGCGACAGGCACATACAATTGCATATGAGAGTAAAAGCGACAAAGCTCATAGCGATGAATGGGAAGACGATGTTGATAAGGTAAGGAATTTTATGTCCATATTGCGCTCTTTTGTTTGGATACACTCACTGGTTTAAAAATACTCTACATTGAATAGTATAGACATGTATAAAGTTTTTGATGATTTTAATAAATATAAATATATGCGCGCACACCACACATATTCACACACACACTCACACACAGAAGGTGGGACAAAAAACTTCAAAAAGTATTTTGTTGGTAAAATTTTATACTTTTTATAAAACACCTGCACTATGTTTTTAAAGAAATGTTTTTTATCAAGCTGCAGAATATAAAATATACATAATTTTAAAGAACAAAACAATGTGTTCTATTTTAAAATACGACAAAGATGAAAAATTTTTTAACCGATGGCATGTTAAAATTAAAAACTTAAGCTTGAAAATGCTTTTTCGCCAAGTTTTAGCGATTTGAGAATAACCCAATTTTTAGGATAAAAAGTGTTTTTTTAAGTAATGTATATACATATACAAGTTAATTTACCATTGTTGTACCAAATGTTAGTAGCATATAGAGGACACCTAGGAAAATAATGTAACATAGGTCCGAAAATATGTAGTTACAGAGCTATCATCATGTTACAAATGTTTGGAATCCAAAGGTTGATGAAGGGCTGGAGCAGTAGCAGATTAGTACTCGTGCCATAGGTCATGTATTAGTTGCAGAGCAATATATAGCAGTGGTAAATCATTCTTATATTGGATGGAGCAATAGCTATTACTTTAAATATCTTTGAATCTATAAGGAAGGAAATTTGTGTAGTCAAAGTTGCACAGTACAAAGGACGCTATCATATGGCGATAATAATTTTTGTCCCGATGAAGACGCCTTGAAGATATCAAGATTATTTTTATTTTGTTAAATGAATGTGATATACTTTTTTCTATAATATGATAGAGAAATTCAAAACAAATTCAGAATGATACAAGATCATAAACAAGATTAAATGTAAAAAGAAACAATAAAATATACATGTTTTTATATTAAACTTATTTTCATAGCTTTCCAAAATATTTTTATTTAATGTATAAAATTACATTACTATCAATAGAACACTTTTATTCGTCTAATCACTGATTGACTTACTCTTCTATATCGGGAGTTATTGAAGCATAGATTGTAATAATTCATTGCATATTTTGAGGTGTAGTTTGTTCTTTGTTAAACCATGTTCTTTAGGATTTTCAATTGAAAAAATCCTGTGGTGGAAGCTCTCTAGGTATATAAATTTTTACTCCAATCATCCTCTACAGTACAAGATTAACACTGTCACCAGTCTAGTAGACCATGCAATCTTACTAGCTGATGACAGTTTCCACGAAAGCAACATCCAAACCGTAAAAAACATCCTTTTAAACAACTGCTTCCCAATCAAAACCATTGACAAACACATTAATAGAAGACTTAACCAACTACAATTAAATAAAGATTTACCGTCTGACAATTACACGAAAGTCAATAAATTCGGCTCCAGACTATACGTCAACCTACCGTATATCAGAAACACCAGCGAAACTGTCAACCACTCTCTACATAAGTGCGGCCTAAAAACTGTATATTCCATACCCAAAAAACTAAATAGGGTCATAAGAAGAGGAAAGGGCGTATTAGACAATTCCAAAAAAACGGAACTGGTCTATAAAATTAACTAATTATTAATATCGGTGATTTTTGTCGACCGTGTCTGGCAATTAAAATTCTTATTGCGAAAAATATTACCCCAGCCAGGATTCGAACCTGGGACCTCCCTACAATCCGTGACGGGCGTCTTAGCCAGCTCGACCACCGGGGCTGTGATAATACCATTCGCATAAACTAGACGCGTAAACAACATCTTAAAAGTTATATACACGTTGTTGCGAATAGTATTATCACAGCCCCGGTGGTCGAGCTGGCTAAGACGGCCGTCACGGATTGTAGGGAGGTCCCAGGTTCGAATCCTGGCTGAGGTAATATTTTTCGTAATAAGAATTTTAATTGCCAGACACGGTCGACAAAAATCACCGTGTTATTAATTTATAATTACTGCTGGCGACTTTAAGAATATTCTTAATAGTTAACTAATTATATTGGACAAATCAAACGACATCTAACTACACGTATCAAAGAACACGAGAACAACATTAAAAAACACCCTATCAATCACTTAGTAGTCAGCCAACACCGCACAGAAACCGGACACGACTTTGATTGGTCATCCCCTGAAATTATACATAATGAAAAACACACAAGGAAAGGGGAGATAGCTGAAATGTTTCTCATCAAGAAAACCAAGAACACTAGCAACCTAAAAACAGACACTGACAATCTTAATCCGATATATGACAAAGTTATTAGCTTGGTCTAAAAACATCTCTGACTGTCTTGGTGTGTTTTCCCTATATGTGTATGTTAGTTACCTGACCTCTGCATATAATAATAACTAATCAGTCTTTGTCTCACAAAATGGCTCTTATTTCTGAACACTGTTCGCCAAATTATGGCTGTAATCTCATTTGACACACTCCATGATAGACCGACAATCTTCCTGCGATGCTGTACAATTCGCTTATACTTCTCACGTAGATTATATGTAAAACATTTACTCCTAGATCTCACTTGAAAAAGACTTAAACCAAAGGTCGAAACGTTGTGAAGACGTATTCAATAAATGTGGTCAGCTCAGGTCGATTAAAATTTGACATTTTATTTATATCAATACTGACAATCTGATGAAATTTTTCCATTTTAATTAATAAAGATCTTCAAAACATTGCATAATTAGCCATTAATATAAAATGATAGAAAACATACTTATTGATATTGATAAATTTAAAAATTAGTTATAATTTGTTAAAGCAACAAAGTATATAGAAAAATAATAGATTAATATAAGAATATTATTGAGAGCTAAGAGATAAACTTTGTATTATACAGGGTGTCTCAGAATACGCGCATTCGGAATTCATAGCGCGATTATTCGTGCCAAAAAAGTAACTTTTTCCTCTGGCAAAATGGTGTCTGAACATTACTTTTCAAATAAGAGCAACTTTAAGGTAACGAATAAGCGCTTTAGGTAACGCGTGAATCAGGAGCGGCACGCGCACGGCGTGCCAGCGCGTTTGAGCGTGTATGCTATTTTACTATTTTGATAAAAGTTTTTATAAAAACTTTTATCAAAATAGTAAAATAGCATACACGCTCAAACGCGCTGGCACGCCGCTCCTGATTCACGCGTTTCCTAAAGCGCTTATTCGTTACCTTAAAGTTGCTCTTATTTGAAAAGTAATGTTCAGACGCAATTTTGCCAGAAGAAAAAGTAACTTTTTTTGGCACGAATAATCATGCTATGAATTCCGAATGCGCGAATTCTGAGACACCCTGTATAACATGGAAACATTAAAAAACATAATTACATATAAGATACATTTAAATTTAACGACATTTTACAGAAAGCAACACTAGGAGACATGCTATTGGACGAAAGGCTGTCATTAACGTTAGATGAGATTGTGCATATTCGTAGCGTGCTTACGAAAGCCGAATTAGAGTCGCTTCCTGTGGAAGGGCGTGTAAAAGAGGACGTAGAGAAAAGGCGTGTTTGTTTCCTCTGTCTAAAAACGCGCTTTGGTCTGTTGGGTCCTTGGGGGCAACGTTGTCGCTTATGCAAGAGAACCGTCTGCGTGAAATGCTACTCAAAAGTTAGTATGACTTGTATACATGGATATAAATTTCGTTTACAATTTACTTCTATCGCAATTGATACATAAATGTGTAATTTGGGCTATAATTATATGAACTGTATGAATTTGAGTTATAATTATATAAAGTTGCTATAAATTAACGAAAAACGAAAGTGTATTGAGACATTTATAGTTTTTGAGATGTAAATTCTATTAATGAATAATTTTAAATGAAATTAAATTTTAACTATGAAATTTATTTGAGACCTGTGGTAAAATTGTTGCCTATTGTAACGTAAAAAGTAACGTCATGTAAACTTTATCATGTACTTTACGAATTAAATAAATTGAACTGAATATTAAATTAATTGATTAATATTACTTAATTAATTTTAGTTAATAAATCGAATTTAATTTTACTTGTTTTTAATGTTTTTAATGTTCTTAATATTAATATATCTTGATAATGACATTCTCAGATGCGAATACCAACGGAACAGTTTGCTCGAGTGCCAGTCGTGTTACTCTCTCCTGGATTGCTACTTTCACCTACGGAAGCTGAGAACGGTGGTAACAAGAACTCCTGGCTAAGAAACCCAGGAATGGTTGGCTCAGCACCGGCTTCCCCTGCATCCAGACGAAAAGATTCTGCGTTACGCAGTGGCACACCTGCCTCGACACCGACAATGACACCCGTCTCCGCATTGACACCCTCATCAACGCCACCTTCTCACGCACGTCGAGAGATGGAAGTTCAAGGACTCGAGAAGAGGTCAGGGCAATAATATATTCATATGATAACCAATACAAATTATTTAAGTTTTATGAAATAAGGAGAGCAATACACTGCAAATTTATAGTCACATATACTACAGATTTTTAATTGTGGGCACAAGATGTTTCTACATGTGCACATAAATATTGCTCAAATATATAAATTTATTACCTAATAATGGTTTTTAATAATGCAATTACCGTGATATTAATTTTTAATAGAATAGAATAGAATGTTTATTCCCTTTCGGGCATTGCACATTGGCGCTTTTTTCAGGGAGCGTTCCCCCAACCCTTTACAACCTTCTTCTCCCCTTCTCTCTCGCGACCTGGCCTTCTGCGACCTTTACATATTATGTACCCTCCCTCCCACACGTATTTCTCCTCTCCTCATCCTCCCCAACCCCCAGTCCTATATCTATTCCATTCTTCCTTCCTCTGTCTCCTTCCTTGTCCCTCTTCTCCAGTCTCCACTTTCTGCCTCTATTTCCTTTCTTCACTTCTCCTTCCAGTCTCCTTGACTCTCCTTCTTTTCTTTTTTTCCATCACTCCTCTCTTTCTCCTTTTTCTTTCCTCTCCTTCTCGTCTTTTTCCTTCTCTATTATATCCTCCTTCTTTCTCCTCTCCCATCCATTTCCATTCTCTCCCATCTATCCACATCCTCCTATTCTCCACCCTTACCCTTCTTCCCATAGCCCTCTCTTTCCCTGCCTTTTCTATTATTCTCCATCTTATTCTCCTCTTTTCCATGCTCAGATCCTCACCTACTCTTATCCCCCATCTCATTCTTACACTATCCATCTTATTTAAAATTTCTTCCTTATCCTCCTCCTTCCTCACTTCAACGATCATAACTACCCTCCCCTCCTCCCCTAATCTCTCTATTATTTCTTTTATTTCCGGGACTCTCTCTAACAATTCCTTTGTCACTTTTATCATTCTCCGCCTTCCCTGCCCTCTCCCTCTACCCCTTTCCAAATTAGCCTCCCTTTCTTCTCCCTTCCCTCCACTCTCCCCTGTCTACCTCACCATCTCCTCTTTTAGCTCTTATCTCTTCTACCTTTTTCCTTCCCTCCTCTTCCTTTTCTCCTCTCTGTTCTCCTCTCCTTCCCTATTTCCTCTCTTTCTCTCCTCCCTTCCTTACTACCTACCCTCCTCTCCCCCTGTTTTTCACTCCTATCCTTTTCTTCTTCCCCTTCCTTCCTCCTTTCCCTGTCTACTCTCTGCTTCCTCCATCCACTTTTTCCCTCCTCTGATTCTTCTTTCTCCTCTCTGCTCTCCCCTCCTATCCTTTCTTTTTCCATCTTCTCTTTCCGTCTTGTCCCCATCTTATTTTACTTCCTCTTCTTTCTTCTCACTCTCCTTTCCGCGTTCCCTTCTCCCTGCCACCCTATCCTCTCTTCCTCCCCTGTTTCTACGCCCCTCTCCCTCTTTCCCTCCCCTCTCTCCTTCTCTTCTTTTTCCCTCTTCTTCCTCTCTCCCCTCGACCCCCCTCCGTCCCCTCCAGTCAATTCTCTTCTTTTCTTCCTCTGTCTCAACCGTCTCCTCACTACTTACTCTTCTTGTCCTTTCCTCCTCCGTCTTCTTCCTTCTTCTCCTCCCTTCCTCCCCTCTCCCTCTTCCCCCTCGCCACTCCTCCTATCCTGTATTCCTGTCTTTTCCTCTTCTCACCGTCTCTCCTTTCTCTCTCTTCTCCACTTCTCCTCTCTCTTCCTCTCCCTCTCTCTCTTCTCATCCCTCCATCCATTCTCTTATTTTCTTCAGTTCCATTGTTATCCTTCTCAGCTGCCTCCTTATCTCCTTTCCCAACTCTCTCAACTCCTCTCTCCATTCCTCCATCCCCTTTCGTCTCCTTTCCTCCTCCTCTTCTCACTCCTCCGCTTCCTCTTTGCGTTTTCCTTCTCTTCTCCTCCCTAACTAACATCCTACCTTTCCTGTTTATCTCCCCGTCCTTCTATTTCCTTTCTTCTTCCTTCCATTCCTCCTCCACCCTTAGATGATCATTCCTCTTATAACATCTAACAATAGTTGAAGTTTTCTAAACAGAATGTTGTGTTACTTGTTGTCAATGAAATAAATATTTTAATATATGAAGTACTACTCTGCCAATTAAATAGCATTTTACATGTTTATATTTGATTTGAATAATTTTAATGCTTTATACAGATGCTATAAGGGTGGTGGCAGTCCTGCCGCTCTTTCAACTACTAAAACATTCTCCACATCGAGTGGTGCTAGTGTGGAGCAACGTTTGGCAGCAGAACGGTTACGTGGTGTCGCTGTTGTTGTTTGTCACGACTGTCGTATCATGGTCATTCAAATAATCAAGAGCTCAAGAACAACGCGTGCAACAATACGCAACAATGTCATTTCTCGTCTCACCCTAAATCTCTCTCCTGCTTATATTTAATTCCCATTACCTTTTAATAATCACCCATGCTGCCGCATCATTTCCCCTTATTGTTTTTCTAAATGTTATCGGATTTTCACGTTATATTATATACATATTGCACAATGAGAACAATCAATATCATTGGACACAACTTGAAATCAGATGAAAAAAATTTATATATATGCAAAATGGGGACATTTGTTTTCTCGTGATATGAGTCGCTACATGGATTTTGCTATAAGATTGTGATAATGTAAAAATCCTCCATGTATGAAACGTATCTATGAAATATGGTAGTAAACTCTTTAAGCCATACTTTATATATTAAAACATTTGTATTCTGAGCTAAAGAATTCTTTCCTTTCTTTAAATGATAAATATGTTAGATCAGAAAGAACAGAAAGAGGTGATTAACATTATTTCTATCAGATACAAATGTCACTATAAATGTCTCTATGTAAAACATACTCGTGCTACGATGACCATTTCAGCTCATATGCATACATGAATACAACCTAACTGATGCTTATGCCTTGCACTTGCATTTTACTTTATATAAATTACTTCGTATAAAATATCCCGATAAAATAAGAGTCACAGATTTCACCATCTTGAATTTTTTGAAATTGATTCTATGAAATATGATTTATTTTTATATTTTGATATTTCCTAAAAATGTAAAAATTCTATTTACGTAATTTTACTAATAATTTCATATATGTATCACTTCTGAATATTTGTCTTTGTAAATGCTAGTGTTCTTTACCAGAAGTATGTTCATATTCCACAGAATCTAAAAATCCGCAAAATTGAAAACCTGACATGTTTTAGAAATTCAAAGATTTAAGAATCTGTGAATCTATAAATTTTTGATAATTACGTTTTCAGTGCAACATTTTAAAATGTTCTCTACATAAGATATAGTTTATATTGTTAATTTTCTATTAGATAAATGTACCAAATATATTTCTCGATTAGATATTCTATCATTTTACATGTTTATATTTTATTTAAATAACCAATTTAATACTATTTATTAGATACCAAAGTAGCATATTACTATGTTTAAACATGTTTGCCATAAAAATATTACTTCAGAACGCGCAAATGTATAATAAATTATGTTATTATTGAATTATATTATTTTTCTTCATGTATTTTTGTTTTTTATTATTCATACTTATTTATCAAAATATGAAATACTAGTGAAAAGAGGGAAATTAAAATATTCATAAAACATTTATAAGCAGCTAAAAATTTAGTTAGATTTAAAGATTTGGCAAAATATAGTCGAATAAAATACAGCCAAAGATATATCTATACGTTGAAAGTTATGCAAAAATTTAGAAGTCTAAGTGTTAATATAAAACCGAAGAAAGAAATTTCAAGATATAGGAATTCAAGGATTTACAAATCAAATAATATAAAAAATTAGGAATCTATGATATTGAGAAAATTTTGATGAAAAATTATGTAAAAATTCAAATAATTTAGGAAAACTTAAATAGTTGCGGATTTAAGGATCTAAGAATTTAAAAATGTAAAAATTCGAAAATACTTTTCACAAAACATTTTTTATACTTTTTATTTTATCTTTAATTTCAATATTCATCCTTAATGTTACAAATTTAACACCTGTTTATCATGTCTGTGACTACATATTCTACAGAAGTATAATAAATCCTGAGATCTCTATCTTTTTGCTTCTACATATCTTTAAAGTTTAAGATTTTTGTTGCAAATTAATCAAGAAGCTATGATATTATTTATAGTAATTATATGGTATTACTTCAACACTATAAAATCTTAAATACGGATATTATTAATCATATGGATTCTTACACTTCATTAATTACTTTTTATTATAATTTCTTAACAAAACCTTATTATTTCTTTAATATATGTAATAGATTCTTAATATATACACTTCAGACCTTTATTATGAGTTCACTTAAAAAGATTTATGACCATATTTTGTAATACCTTCGGCTATCTTTTGAATTGTTTACATTGTAAATAAAAATTGCATATCTACAGATAGAATCTACAGATTCTACAGATCAACAGATAGAAACAATAACAAGTTTTTATGTAGCTTTAATAAAGTATACAAAATACAACTGAATGAAAATTAAATATGAAATTATTAGCATTATAGAAAGATGAAGGCAGAAACCAAATAAAGTCAAAGCTCTATAAAAATAAAAATCAATCGACGCGGGTTGGATGCAACATATATATATATAATAATTATATATATATATATATGTATAGAGAGAGGGAGAGAGAGAGTCTCTTGTTGTAGAGTCTTTTTGTAAGATACTGTGTTGGATCTTCCACATACAATACTAACATGTTCAAATTGATTGTATTGAGAAATTATCTGTACGCCTAAGAAGTATATAAGATATTCTAAAAGTATATGTACCAACAGTTTTATTCGTAAGAAAATATAGCGGCTTTAAATTGAGAAATCGATATAAACTTTTATTATTATTTTATTATCTTAATTATCTTAAATTATCACTAATTTAAAATTCATTTAAATATTTCTTTTTTATTTTCTTTCAAATATGTGATACTTTTACGATTAAATATTGCGTAACATGTTATTCACTAAATTAAATAAATAATTAAATGAATTCACAATTGACCAGATTTTAATGCTACCTGTAATGCTCATCAGAAGGGCAAATATATGTATATATGGACCAATATTTTTCAATTAATAGAAAACCAAAGTAACCTTTTACCCTTTTTTTAGAATATCTTATATATAACAAATAATTACAAATAATGTATACAATTTTTTGAGAGCTAGAATAAAGGCAAATATCGTAGGAGAAAAGCAGATACAAAAATTATCAACACATAACAATATATTCACATATTCATGTCAGTGGATAAATAAATTTAATAGAAACTTTATTAGATAAAAAATACAAGAAAGAAAATAAATATGCGAGAATTAAAATGCGAGACTCAATGAGGGTTTAGCAAACATTAATTGATACACCTGATGTATGTTATTAATCAAATATTTAATAGGATTAATATTGATGATTAAAGTATTAATTGGTTCGATTTCTTGCGTGTAAGTAAATTACGTGAATTATTGTTCTACAAAGCATTAATTTATTATATTGAATATTGCTACATAAACACATAGGAATATATATAAAAACTGAATTATTTTGGTTGTATATATTGTACATGATTTTATCAAATTGTACATTACGTCTCACAACGACATTATTTATTTCAAATTTTTTTAAATAAGCAAATAAAATTCCAACAGTAGTGATTGTTATTATATGAATGTATATAAATAAGGGAAGATTAGAGATTGTGAGGAGCCTATTAGAAAATAAAGTAATTCTGATTACGATCCGTGTAATATGGTACCGAGTACAAAAAGACGAAAAACGAATGAGAAAATTTTGTTATAAATAATTCTAAAATATTTTAATGTTAAAACTGATAAGTACCGTACACATACACACGTGCGCACGCTATATGTGTGGGTGTGCGTGCATGCGTGCGTGCGTTCATGTGTGTAATTATAATTGGATTGTTGTGCAAGAACTTGTAAGGGTCTGACGACGCTTGTATATGTCGATTATATTTTGTTGATTATATTACAAAAATTTTATAATTGAAGGATTGAAGGATTTTAAAAGAAAAAGTGGGTATGAAAACAGAAGTAGTCTAATGTAATGCAATAACACGAAAATAAAAAACGTTAAATATCTGAAAAAGATTTAAGGATCCAAAAATTTAACACAATTTTTAAAGAACATTTTCGAAAACATTGAAAATACAAAAAATTTGAAGATAAAGGGATTCTAATGCGCAGATGTGGTATTTTAAAAATCTTTCTATATCTCTTTATTTATATTTAATACTTGTTGTAGGATCAGATAAAGAAGTGTAAAATAACTTAAATATTGAAAAGGTAACAGAATGAAAAAGATTACATAAGAGAGCCAAAATATTTCACAGATCCTTTCTCATTATTTCCTTTGTGATAAATATTTTACTTCATTCTTTGTATTATTTTTTAATTCTATAAAGATTTGTAGTTTTAAAATCTTTAGATATACAGTTATTTTTTTAAAGGAGGAATTTAGAAAAATTCCAATTTCTGAAGAATTTAATTTATTACAATGTTAAAAACTTGTAACAGAAAATAAAATGTAACAAAATTTTTATAACAACCTAATATTGCAAGCTACAGTGTTTCTGTTTATGCGTTTAGGAAATATTTAATTAGATAAAATAAAATCTCTTATTAGACAGAATGTTTCCTGCTTCGTTTTGTCGTTATATACAGAAGCTTAAACAATGTAAATTTGCGACCTTAATCAGCTTTAGAAATGTAAGTAATATTATGATATATCAATATAAAACAAAAACAAGAAATAAATATATCTTCAAAATGTTAATATACTTGTATTATTACTTTCTCCTTTTATCTCATTTCTATTGATATAGGGTGTTTTTCAGCTAGAACGCATAAAATTACACTGTGTAAAATTGTTATTAGAACGGTTAAAGTGTAAGTTTAATTTCTAAAATTTTAGAGAAAGAAAGAGCCCCAGTGAGAACACTAAAGTCGAATCGACGTCAATGGGGTCGAAACTGCGTCCCTACCGTCAGTTTTCGAAAATAATTAAAAGTTTCGGAATATTATTTTTTGTATTAAATTACTACGTTCAACGTTGTGAATACTTTTAACATCTTAGGCTTGTTTTCTGTTCCTACACTAGTGAACTAGTGCAATAAATTGGAGTAAGACAAGCATATTTTTTCTCATTCTAGCTTACTGCACTAGTTCACCAGTGCAGGAACAGAAAACAAACCCCTTATTAGAGAGAACTGTCAAGTTTCAGTTGTTTGGTGGAAACGACGTCAAAACAACGTCGAAACGACGTTCATAAAATCAAACCTGATAAGACTGAAATTACACAAATATTTTTTGTTCTCCCTAAACGGGAACGCCATCAACTTTTTGGTCATTTAATGTAAAGCGAATTATTTTTCAATAATTTCGTATTTCAGAAATCTCAATACTTTGATTATATGTATATATTTTAGTACATGTATGTGATATACATACATATACACATATAACACATATAATATAAACCCGCTTTCCAAAACATATAAACCATCAATATATGTATAGAATATACGTTTTGGATAATATGCGTTAGGTACATTAAAAAAGTTAAAAACACGATTAACCTCCAACAAGACACAGATAATCTTAACTCTATCTACGATAAAATTGTCCGTATCACCTAACTTATTATTTATCTATTTATTTATTTATATTGTTGTTCTTTCCCTACGGATATCTGGTATTTTGACGATTTGTCGGTTAAAACCACTGTTCCCACTCAACTTAAGGATGTATCGGA